GGAATAGAGGGCACAGATGTTGGAAGTGAGTGGTACATGTCCCACCCGGTGCCTATGGCGGTTACACCCATGGAGGCCACGGTTGCTGTAACCCCTTCTAAAAAGTGGCGGGCCAAGTCTAATCAGGGTCTTTCCAAGAGGGCTGAATAATTGTCTTCAGAATTGGGAGAAGTGAAATTCCTTTTCAAGGCACACCAGCTCCAACGGCTGAGGTTTCTTCCCCGACAATGCCTAAGTTGGCTGTAGAGGAGGATGTGGCCAAGAATGAGTTGCAGCTGGACATCCCAAAAGAGGAGGAGTCCTGTCCAGAGGGTGAACAATGTTCTCCAGGAAGTCAGTCAATTCAGGCAGGGCATGCAGTTTCCTTACATCACCTTCCTGCAGCTGCTAGGCAAACTGACCTCAGTCACTTGGGTCATGCACTTAGGTCTGCTGCCACTGCACCCATTTCAGAGGTGGTTCAACAGCTTTCACCTGGATGCCAGGCTGCACAGGTATCGCAACGTTGGGGTGACAAGGTCATGTCTCTGTACCCTGGACCCATGGAGAAACAGGACTTATTTGTCCATGGGTGTCCATACGGACACCCGCGGACAAATAATGGTTGTGTGTCACAGAGAGGTGGTCACAAAAGATGCCTGCATCATGGGGTGCTGTGTGGCAACACAGTGAAGTACAGGGCTGCTGGAGTCGACAGGATTGCTCCAAACTTGTAAACGTGCTGGAGCTTTGCGCCGTGTATTTGGCTCTCAGACATTCCTTCGGATAACACCTCTGCTGTCTACCACATCAAACATCAGGGTGGCACCAGATCTGCGCAGTTTCTGAAGCTGACCATGGATCTCTTAAGATGGGCCTCCCCTGGCTTGCCCACCCTGCGGGCAGTGTACTTACCAGGACAGGACAACTGGGTTGCGGACTCCCTTTCTTGGCAGCTGCCTGCTCCAGGAGAGTGGTCTCTGCACAGTGATATAGTGTGCATGATCTGGGACCTTTACGGTCAGGCAGAAGTTGACCCGTTTGCTACAGAGGAGTCGACTCATTGACCTCTGTGTTTTTTCCTTATGGGGGCATTAAGTGCACTGGGCTAGGACCCCTGGGCACATCCCTGGTCAAGGGTCCTTCTAAATGCTTTTCCTCTTTCTCTCCTTTTTCTGATTAGGCTGACTCTTCAGAGGGTTCTCGAGGAGGGCCACAGGGTGTTGCTGATAGTTCCGTATTGGTCAGCACGGCCATGGTTCTCACTTCTACGGAGTCTGTGTCACAACGTCCCATGGTGTCTTCCAACCAGGAGGGATTTACTGTCCCAGCTGGGGGGACTGATTTGGCACCCCAATCCTCAATGCCTCAGACTGTGGGTGTGGCCACTGGGAGGCTTGAACAGCAGCTGACTGGATATTCAGGTCCTGTCAGGCACACTATTTTGAGTGCCAGGGCACTCTCTACTCATCAGCAATATGAAAGCAGGTGGCATCTGTTTTCTCAATGATGTTCTGCCCGCAATGAGGATCCAGTCCCCTGTGTAGTACCCGCTATTCTGGAGTTTCTTCAGTCTCTTTCTGATAAGGGCCACTCTCCCTCAACACTTAAGGTATATGTAGCGGTAATATCATCTAATCATGCCGACATAGATGGTGGTACAGTGGGGAGCCATAACCTAGTTTCTCTTTTTCTGCATGGGGCTTGTAGGTTGCACCCACCAACAGTTCTGCATGCACCAGTTTGGGATTTGTCCTTGGTTCTTGATGCTCTGTGCCACCCTCCATTCAAGCCTTTGCTTCAGACGGACCTCGAGTGGCACTCGTGTAAGACGGCTTTTTTGCTGGCTATTGTCTCAGCCAAGAGGGTCATCAAGCTACATGCTCTTTCTGTCAGACCATCATCTCTCAAATGGGTCCCAGATGGCTCTGGTGTTACTTTGTGGCCAAAAACTACATTTGTCCCCAAAGTTTTTTTCTAATTTCCATTGTAATCAGCCACTGAGATTGGCCTATTTTCAGCCTACGTCAGGAGGTGATCGGCCTGAATTATTGTGCCCAGTGAGGACTATGAGATGCTCAAACCAGTGGTTCTTGTGTTATGGAGGCCCTAGATCAGGTTGTCCTCTTTCCAAGCAGCGTCTCTCTCATTGAATTGTGGAGGTCATCTGCCATGCCTATGCTGCAGGATGCTGCCATGATGATGATCCCATTGGTTGGCATGAAGGCGCACTCTAGCAGGAGCGTTTCCATTTCCTGGGCAGCCTTGAGAGGGATCCCACTAGAGGCGATATGTGCTGCTGCATCATGGGTGTCTCCGAGCATGTTCACTAAATTTTACAATGTGAATGTGGCCTCCCCTCATCCTCTGGACCAGGTTCTTTTACCGGGGTCCTCTGGGCCTTCTCAGTGAGGTATGTGCTCAGGATTCCTTGTGACATCACTGGTATTAGTCATTCAGTGCTCTCAGCACTGCCCTCTGGCGGCCAGGAGGGATAAAAACGAACAAAAGTTACGTATGTAACTACGGCTCTATGAATCCCGGATAACTGCCAGAGCTTCTCTGTCACTCAGAATCCTTGCATTTGCGAGAAGATTCTGTAGGAACAGAGCCTCGGATAACGTCAGGCTATTTAATCTCTGATTAGTCATCTTATTGGTCACAGGTGTGACTCTGTTGGTATTATTGCTTGAACGGTGCATGCACAAAGGGAACATTCAGTGCTTCCAGCACCACCTTGCGGGATTCACAGAACTGTAGTTACACATGTATCTTTTGTTTTTCACTCACAACTTTTCTGTTTGGTTTTGGTTTACTAAAGAACAACACAATGGAAACTGTTGGGTGTTTTTTTGTTTATGTGGTTGGATATGAATAATTTGAAAACCTGGTAAAGACTGGATGATTATTATTATGTTCTGATCTATAAAACCTTGGACTTGTCAAATGATGGGCTGTCTTTTCTCCATAACTGTCTTATTTTGAAGCAGTAGCAGTTAAGAAACACAAATAAACTTCAGAAATGTCTCTTAAAGAGCCCCTTCACCAATTGACAGACACCTGAGAGATGACAAACGGAGGAGGAGATGGAAAGAAGCAGCTGCTGAGGAGAAATGTTACATATGAGACAGAGTGACAGCACCGGAAAGGAGAGAATGCAGCCTTTGCATTGTTCATTGCAGACGTTTATTTGCTTGGCATACGGCAAGAATGGGTGTGTGTGAGTTCTAAGCAACAGTGAGGCAATACTGTTAGATATAAAAAACTATTTGTGTTTTATGGAAGCAGCACCCTCTGGTTACCAGGATTAAGCAGCTACGGACACAAAGGAAGCCCGGCATCGTTAACTGAGAAGCCCTTGGCTCAGTGTGTGTATGCTCTGACACTCACCTCATCATCTAACCTACACAGAGCATCTAGACTGACAGAAGATGATGGAATTCACTATCATGAGCTGTTCTTAGTACAAAAACTACAAACTGAAACAGGGATTTCTGGTTGTTGTTTTAATCTGCATTCAAGATTTAATAAGTGCACCATGGGCTGAGTTCCATTATCTTCTGGGTGTGCTAGAAACCAGCAGAAATGTACCTGAGGTGTGGGCTGCTCACAGACGCTCCAGGCTGTGACAGACTACATTTTCCCCGTTGCTGTTTGCAATGAACAGTGGGGGTGGGGTGAAAGAAAGAAAGTATGTTTCAGTCAAATCAACACAAAGCTACTGATGAAAAGACAATCCAAAATGAAAGAGGAGCAGCAAAAACAAACAAAAACACATGAAGGTGACAGATTAACCTATTATACAAGTAAATAAGAAGGAATCACAAATACTGCGAGTTCAATAACAGGACTGCAAATAGGGCTCAATCAAACTAAATAAGCAAGGAAATGTTTATTTAGACTGATTGGATTATTTTATTATACTTCTTTGTTCACAAGCAATGAGGTATGTTGGCTGGAGGCACTGTCATGTGACTTTTCATTGTCAGAGAGAGCGGCTGTAGTGTTAGCTGGATGTGATAACCTGGTAATCATGACAGGTTAAATTTAAGTTAGCATGTTTGCTTTTGACAACCACTGTTTTTGAATTGATAGAAATGCTTGTCAGTAAATATTATTATATTGAGTAAAAACATGTTGCATTTATGTTAAGCCCTTCCGACGTTTCCCTGTATCTTGACCCTCAAAAATCTGTAATAAAAAAATCTGTATTACTCCATTATCATGCTATACAACAGAGGTGGGGAGTTGACAAACAGATTTTAGGCTGCAGGGAAAAACAGAACGTGGGGTGGAGATAGCATCTGCGAGATGGTTATTTAATATAGTTTATTGTTTTTTATGTCCTCCAGGCTCTGAGACGTAAAATAAATTTAAAGTTGAGTTTTTTTTTAATTGGTGAGATTTCTCTATGGGTCTGTATACCTGCTAATTGGGGGAAAATCTGTGTAATTTATGGACAATATGTATAAGTTGACATGTATAATGTTGCCAAGGTACATATGTCTGCAGGGAAAGATGTTTCTAAAAGGCAGAAGCTAACCAATGATAAACTAAATCTAGCTATAATAATTGTTTACATTGGCGGCTTGCACGAAGCAATATGATGTCATGAGGAGGACAATCAGACAAACAGAGGACAATCTTCTGAAGTGGGTGTGATGCTTCTAGTCAATATACCTCATTGCTGACAATATAATAATAATATAGAAATGTGGGTAAAAAAATATAAAAACAGTTTTCATAGGTTTAGCAGTTCCATTACAGCCAGTATTTCTGATAACATTACAGAGAAAAATAAGGGAAAAGAAATAACTGGAAAGTTTTAGAGGAAAGGTTTAATGTGGCAGAGGAGAAGAAATAAAACAAGTCCAAGAAGAAGATAAACAAAAAGGTGGAAAAGGTAAAAAAAATAAATAAATAAAAATAAAACATACAAGGAAGAATAAAAAGTAGCAGAAAAGTGAAGTGTACAGGGTGTGGATTAGGACGAACCAAGGGGTTCTGGACTGAGGCAGGTGTTAGTGGAACGGTCTGACAGTGGTTATTACAGGTAGGATTAAACTTTACCGATCGTGGCCGACTCGGAGTACTCCTTCCTGATACAGGACTGAGAGAACCAGATGTATCCAGTTCATCAGCAGAGGACCAAGAAGACAGATCCTGAAGACTCAAACAGAAGGTCTCAGTCAGATTAATGTTCATGACAAATACTTTAAAATAAACACAAATATACTAAGTTTAACATGGGACCTCTACACAGATTCTGAACAGACAGGGTGGCTGTGACAGAGTGGTTAAGGGAGTCTTCCTAGAACGGGTAGGTTGCCGGTTCGATCCTCTATTCCAGCTGTCTCAGTTGTGTCCCCGAGCAAGACACTTCACCCTCAATGCCTCTGATGTGTGTCCCATATGTGTATGAATGTGATTTAAAGCACAGATTAGGCTCTATAAGATGACTACATGTTTGCTTCGCAGAAGAGTTTCCATGAATGGATAAATGAGGGCACTGATCTTTGAATGGTTGGATAGAAAGGAGCTATATAACTACAGTTCATTTACTTCTTTAATAACTGAATAAAAATCTACAAAATAAAAATGACCATAATATACTTTGTTGATGCTTGAGTCCCTGATGCCCTTGGATTAAATAATCTGGTTACATAACAATTGTGGGGGAAAAACCTTACTATTTGTGTTGGTCAGAGACCCAAGTCTTGGCTTAAGTAAAATCCAAGAGGGTCCTCTTTAAAATAATACCAAACACAACATTATAAACTTTTAATAAATGCTCACACAGTGAGCCTAATTCAGAATACACCAGAGTCAAAAAACATGAATTTATCTTTAGGAGTTGTTAACTGCCACTAAGGTACAACTTTGGAAGGGCTGTCACACCAAAATATCCTCTACAGACATGTATCGTTTCAAAAATTATGATGACGTTTTGCCAACAAGAGATCGACCAAAAAGTGTTCTGGCCCATGGACCATGTGGTAGAGATCACGCTCATCTACTACCACATCAGATTTGACCTCTAGCTGTAAAATAACTGAATTGTAGCCATATTTGTGTTTTTAGGGTCAGTTAGCTGTGGCAGCCATTTTGACTTGTGTTGACTGTAAAAGTTCATCAGCTGAAGACGTTCTGTTTCATTAAATTCTCTCAGGATTGTAGACGTGAACAGTTGAGGGACGTGAAGGGTTAAAGCCCCACCTGTTGACTGCTTGTGATGTCCAGAACCTTGGCCAGCTCTCTGAGGTCTCGGGTCACTTCCTTCAGCAGCAGTTTGAGGCGGTTCCCAATGACATGAACCTTTTCTTTGGCTTCCAGGCAGTCAGTGCCCTCAGAGTTGACTAGCAGCTGCAGAGACATGTCTTGTAGTGAGGCCACCTTCAGCTGAGAGTCCAATAACTCCTGACGGATTTGCTGCAAAATATAAATACATTGTGAAACTAGACTCATTGCATTTCATATATATATATATGTTATCTATGACTAGTTTGATACCGTGAGAGTCTTGTGATGCTGATGGAGGGTAACGGAGTCTTGAATTGGATCAATGGGAACCACCTCATTCCTTCTGCGATCAATATTTTCCAACCAAAGCAACAGACTGTGGCTCATTTCATGAAACTCCTAGTAAACGGAAAAGAACCAGCTCTTGTTTATTTTAGTTTTGTTCCCATCAATCTAATGATGAAGATAAATGGATGAGTACTCACTTGGCACTGCATGAGAGCTTCCTGTAATGAAGATCTCCACTTGTCCAAAGAGCTGCCCAGTTTGTCCCACTGCTTGTTCATGTCTTTGAGTTTACCTTGTAGTTCTCTGGATTCCTCAGTGTCTGACTGCAGAAATTCAGCACTGCACAGGTTGATGGACAGAAGAATAGCTTTGCGCTTGTCATAAGCTTTCTGAAGTTCCTGTAGTCAAACAGAAAAAAACAAACAGGATTTTATGAAACCTGACTAAGCTAAACAAAAAGAGGAGCAATGGCAAATCTTTGTGTAAAACACCAGTCAACCAGTCATTGCTGTAGGACAGGGGTACTCAACCAGTTGATCGCGATCGACCGATAGCTCGTTGGCTGGTTCCCAGTAGCTCACGGAGCGCAACCTTCCTCTAACAGCTGAGAGCCGGCTCGTCAGCTGAGAGCAACAGTTGCGCTCTGGCCCGGGACTCATGGCCGCTCGCTGAGCTCTCCAGCAGAAGCGGTGGAGGTGGGGGGAGTTTACATCCCAGCCTTGAACACGCTCCCTCCGCCCTCCCCAGCACAGCTGATGAGCCGGCTCGTCAGCTCCACTCACAGACATTAGTCTCGTCAGTTTTGGGTGTGGTCAAACAGCACTCCGAACACGGTCTCATGAGACTTTAGGATCATGTGTTCACAACAAAGCAGCGAGGCGGAAAAAAAATGAACAAAAGACAGCTAACAAGCAAATAAAAACAGTATTTTCACCTGGAGTGGGAAGAGGACTCATGTAATTCGAGCGCTGCCTTGGCTTGTCCAAAAAGGACAACGTGGAACTGCATTTCTTTCAAAACAATGCACAAACGCTATGAGATGGATTCCCCCTCCTAAGCTAAGGTAAGGTTCCTAACGCAGCCCCGTACCTGCCTCAACACACACACAAAAAAAAAAAAAAAAAATGCGGAAAACATCTTTCAGCGATGATGAATTTATGAAAGAAGCGTTTAATTCTGCAGACGTGCTTTTCCATGATTTTAAAAATAAAAGTGGCTGCGATAAGACSTGCAGCTGTCCACCAGGATGGATGGATGTGTCCAAATTCATGTTTCAGTCTGGACTGCTCCGGTGTTGAAAATGAGGTTTTGACTGCAAAATGACATTGGGATCAAATCCAGAGCAACAAGTTGCATGGATGGAGAGTTCTGGAGTCAGCTTTCTCTCACATGAAAATCAAGTCCAAGAACAGATCCACAAAGACTGGTGATCATCTGGAGACCTGCTTACACCTCAACCACCTCATACTGCCTGCCTATGAGACCCTGGCCTCCTCTCACTGTCAGAAGTCTCACTAAGGTAGACATATATTTATTTTTATATAGCTTCTTGCATAAAAAGTTGTCTCCTCTAGACTTGTCACAATGGGTCTGTATGTTGTTTTTATATTACATTTTAGACCAGACTAGTGTGTTATACACTGACTGGCACCTTTGTGTTATTTATTTATTTATTTGTTTTGCAGTTGTTTTCTCTACCTAACGTGGCTGTGTGTGTGTCTTGTTTATAGGTGGTGAACAGGTGGAACTCTTTGAATGGTCTGGAGCCGGCAGTCTGGACCAGTGAGGGCCAGCACCTACAGATGACACCATCCTGCATGCTGCTGCACAGAGATGGAGGTTTGAAATAGTTGTTGGAGATTTGTGAATCTGCACCATCGTAAGTCACTTTTTGTAATAGTATAAATGAGAGAGTTTTATATTGTGTGCTTTGACTTTAATTTTATGTTTTGTTTTCCTCTCCTGTATGGAGAGAAAGAGAGGAGAGTTCTTTGAATAAATGGAGACGAGTTCCCCTGCTCCAAAGTTATTTAAGTCTGTGGTTTTCTCAGTGTGCAGGTTTCCAGCCCTCATTGCTCACACGTTACAGGGAGTACTAATTGAAGGAGGTAAAAATAAATTGATCCTTTTTGTTCAAGCATCACTTTTATGTTTCTCTGTCAGGAGTTAAGTAAGGATTTTCTCTTTTCTTTTTTAGTAGGTAAATATATGGTTAAGTAGACAGTTTTGTTTGACAATACTTTAAAATAAATAAAACTAGCAACGCATTACGATCTGTTTCATTTAAAGAAGTGAGGAGTAGGGAGACGAAAAATTATGTTTTTTTTGATACTGAGACTGGACGAGTAGCTCTCGGCAAACTGCCAACTTCAAAAGTAGCTCTTGGTTCAAAAATGGTTGAGAACCCCTGCTGTACGGTTTTATCACTTTATAAATTCTATAATTTGAGAATCAAATCTTTAACAATTTAGATCATATTTTAAAGTTAAAACTTCTAAACTTTTATTGGGCTGTAACAGTACATATTTCAGTACAACAGGAGAAAAGAAACAAATGTCAAATAGTCTATTTATAATAGACAAAAACTCTCTGAAGTAGAGTCACTAAAACAGGGGTCACCAACCTTTTTGAGACAGAGCTACTTTGGGGATGCAGAGTAACACGAGCGGCTACTTGGTACAAAAAAATTTGCACAGCTCACCTTTAATTATATTATTATTATGACCCCCGTATGCGAAGCGTAAGCGGGAGTCATATTGTTTTCGTACTGTTTATTTTATTTTATTTTTTCAGTGATTTTTGGTCAACCATAGCACAAAAACAGCTGCACCGGTCAACATGAAATTTGGCAGGACTGTAGAGGAGTCTGACCTACACTGCGCCAGCCAACGGTTTTACGATAGACCCCATTTTGAGGAGGGGGCTCCTTTCAAAGAGGGGATGTCAGGACATGCAAAAATGCTTATAACTCAGAAACTGTTCAACATAGGAGCTTCAGATTTCTTTTGTT